TGTCTTCATAAATAAATTATAATAACATATAAGAAGTTTAAATGCTATTAGATTTGTAGGTAATTGTTGCAGCATTGCATAAAGGGAAACTGGTGTTAAAGTTGTATAACTTGTATGTCAAATTCTAGAGATAGCATTATTTTTATAATCCTACAAGGGAATGAATTCTAGAGCTTGTATAACTTGGAAGTTTTAATTCTAGAGTTTGATGAGAATCACGACCTCTCCCTGTTCACTATGTTGGAAATCAGAAAATATTTGTTTAACTGTTAAGTTGGACAATATGATATTTTCTTTATTTCTTAAGTAAGCTTGTATTAATTGTGGCAATTATTTTCAGGACCCCTAAAAGATCACATCTATCTTCACTTGAATCACTTACCCCCAGATGTGCTCAAGGAGAGACTTCCTGGAATCTCTGAAACTGCTGCTATTTTTGCTGGAGTGGATGTTACTAAGGAACCCATTCCTGTCTTGCCAACTGTACATTATAACATGGGTGGTATTCCTACAAACCATCATGGAGAGGTATAAAGTTAAAATAAATCGTTTGACATCAAACTTCCAATTGAAAAATTCAAAAATATAAAAAGTAATCAAGAAAAAAAAAACTAGGGTAGTTAATCATGCTATCCTGGCTCAATAAAATTTCTTATATGGTAAGTGTTTAATATAGAGGGAGGGATATAGGATGAAATTGCTTAATTGAAATTCATTGATTTTACAGTACTAAGTGGGGAATATTTCCTAGGGAAAGAGTAAATCAGTGCTACTTTATAATTACTAATTTCCATGGAAACTAAATGTATTTAGCATGTGAGAAATTAACTCATTTAACAAGTGATACAAAAGCTGCATGTTACTCTTAACATTGTTTACTTGATAAATTAGTGCTCTATGCTTACTTTTCTCCAATTGTCATTCTTTTGTACTACACAATATTTGTGCAGAAGTATGTACAACACAAGTAATAATAATTGTTTGAGTTTTTGACAATAAAAATATTAATATTGACATTTCATCTTTCAGCTGCACCCCAAAGTGAAGAATATTAAGCTAAATTGGGTCGGATTTAAATGATTATTTAAAATTATTCTATAAATAAAATAAAATATGCAAAATGAAAAACTAATGTTAACTAATTCAATATGAAAAAATATAATTTAATATGCCATTTTGTTATACAGGTAGTTACCATTAAAGGTGACAATCCAGATGCCGTAGTTCCTGGATTGATGGCAGCTGGGGAAACAGCCTGTGCATCAGTCCATGGCGCTAATAGACTTGGTGCAAACTCACTTCTGGATATTGTTGTTTTTGGTAGAGCTTGTGCAAATAGAGTTGCAGAAATCCATAGGCCAGGCAAGATTCTTTTCCAGTTGTTGAAATGGATTGTGCACACTAAAATTAATTTGATAAAAGTTTGTCTCATCCATTTTCCATTTTTGCAGGAGAGAAACAAAAACCTTTAGAAAGGGATGCTGGTCAGAAAACAATTGCATGGCTGGACAAATTGAGAAATTCAAATGGTTCATTGCCAACTTCAAAAATTCGGTTGAATATGCAACGAGTTATGCAAAGCAATGCTGCTGTATTCCGTACACAAGAAACATTAGAAGAAGGTAATCCATTTCCTGTCAATTATACTTCATCCTCTTACCATTTCCTTCTTCTTCTTTTTCACTAGGTGTATGTTTCACTCTTGCTGATTCTGTAACTATTTTCTTAATCTGAACCTCATCTACTGCCTTACAGGTTGTCAATTAATTGATAAAACATGGGAGAGCTTCCGTGATGTCAAGGTGGAGGACCGCACTTTAATATGGTAAATCCTTTTTAGCAAATGTTAAGTATTATTAATATTTCAAGGATTCTGCTTTTCATTTTTAAAGTCTGTCGGCTATATATTCCCAGGAACACTGACTTGATGGAGACTATTGAGTTGGAAAATCTTTTGATAAATGCATGCATCACAATGCACTCAGCTGAAGCCAGGAAAGAGAGTAGAGGAGCTCATGCACGGGAAGACTTTACGGTTAGTTTTTTCCCTCTCTCTCCCTCCCTCATATGCAAATTTCATACCATGGACCTTAATAGCATAATTGACCATATTATGTTGGATTCTGCAGACAAGAGATGATGAGAACTGGATGAAACACACTCTGGGGTAAGTCATGTTTCAATGATACAGTTAGTATTTTTAATTTGCTACTTACTGAAGGAGGCACTTGAGTAGTATAGTTGAAGTTAAGTTTCTTATTTCTAGTGGGAACCTTGATTCTTTTAGGTCATGTTTGGTGGAAATGGAATATTCATTCCTATGCTTCGTTTGGAAGATAGGAATAAAATGATGTTTATATTCCTATTTCAAGAAAAATATTTTATTTTATTTTTCATTGGAAGAGGGGGTTTGTGGGAGGGGAATTTTCAAGACATAGGATTCGAACCCAAGTGATCATGTACATACATATCTTGCCAGCTCTCACCATTGGTTGGAAAAGATTAAATAGGTGTGTTTCATCCAGATTTTTACCAACCAAATATCTGGGTTGGGCTGGGCCCAAGTAGGTGCTGATTGCCAAGAATAAAACACGACTTTGAAGCTGAACAAGGGGAAGGGGATTGGATGGTTGTAATGTATTTTGGTTAAATGGAATGGGCTTTCCATCATTTTTGTGATGGAATAAGTGAGTAACTATTCTTAAATTTGTAACAATGCTCATTCCCATAGAAATGCTCATTGCACAATTGCAATCATGTAATCAAACTTGGGAATGGGAAATACCCACTCCCATTCCTATCCCTCCAGACTCCAACCGAACTGCTACTTGTGTATTTAAGCCTAATTCTTCTTGAGAGCTGTACAGCTTTCGACTCTCTTATAACGTTGAATCATCCAAGTAGCTCATTAAGCTAACAAACTAGTGACTGGAGTAATATTGTCTTATCTGGCGTTTGGATTATCGTGTACGGTTGAAAACTTTAGTGATGTGGTACCTCCAACTGATCCTTGCTTGGAGATCTTCAGTTGCAGAATAGTTTTGATTCCGAAATGGGCCATAAGTCTTTATGAAGTTCTTGATCGATGCAACCTTCTTGTCATCACCCCTATATTCTCAAGTGGCGAGAAAAAACCCAAAATTGGGCTGGCACTGTTTTTGGGACATGTTACTATTATTGCGGTTTGATAAGTGATATTTTACTCAATGATGACAGTTAATTTAGAGCTATAAGAATAATGGTATTTTGCAATCTGTATTAGAGAAGTTGGAAAGCTTAGAGCAATCATTTGGCGAGAGGAAGATATTTCTGACTGTAAGCACGGTGCATGCCAAGAGACCAACACTTTAACATGTCCTCTCAAGTGGTAGTATGTGAGATTGAAATACGGATGAGGAGGATCAATGTGTTTTACCATGATCATAGAGGCTTTGATTAATCAATTCAATGTCCAGAAACCAACTGTTCTAAAGATTAGGTGGAGTCAACTAACATAGAGATGTCTTTGATTTGGGAGTCAACTAACATAGAGGTGTCTTTGATTTGGGGGAAATTTTTAAAACGACTCGATTGAGGAGAAAATACTTTGTGTCAGTTAGTTGTTTATGTTAGCTAAGCTTTTGTGCATTAATTTGCAGATACTGGGAGAACGAGAAGGTCCGGTTGGATTACAGAGCAGTGCATTTAAACACATTGGATGACGAGGTTGAATCATTCCCTCCCAAGGCTCGTGTGTATTAATATTACACTAATGGATGGCTTGGACCTATCATCCCAGTGTAAGTGACCAGTGCAAATGAATGAAAAAAAAAAAAAAACAATAAAACGTCGCAGAGGCATGATTTTGATTTGGCATGATTATTGTTGGTTTCATAATCAATGTTGATTATAACACTGTATTTGCAACAGAAAATAATAGCGAAACAGTTCCATTAACTGTTTATACTTGGGTAAGTTTCTATATAAGTACTATATGCCAAGTTACGATCTGCGCGTTTGTAGTTATTTTCTAAATAAATATATCTCCTTCTCATTTTCTAAAATGATCTGCACATTTTTACGGTCACCTTTATATATTTGTCACAAAATCATCCGACACCTGTTATTTGGTTGTGGTCACAATTCATAATGCACCTGTTTGTCAGCAGGTTCAAGTTAGGAACGAGATATCATATAACGAGTTGACGATGGAACAATATCGAATACCATCTGTCAGGACCGGTCCTGAGATTTTGGGAGCCGTGAGCAAACCAATAAAATGATGACCCTCTAACTATTTAAATAACATTCTCCTTGCATTTTTTGTTGCAAAATCATTAATGATTTTTTCATAATCATGGTTCCTTAAAAAATTATTTTGTGAAATAGTAGATCGCAAATAAGATTTTAACAATTTCAATTTAGAAAAGCTTCTTTCAGCAAATGCAACAATATTGACTATACGTCGTGCATGCATTAGGAAAACAATTAAATATCTTTGAAGAATTCAATATCATATAACTTGATTTTTATTCAATTGTTAAAACCTCTCTAATGACTTTCAATTCTTCAAATAGAATTTCACCATCAAGATCATAAGATCATGTTTTAAGTAAGTTTGCAACGTGATTTCAAGTCATTGTCATCGAATGATCTAAGTCTTTCAATATTGAATAAAAATCCAGAAACTTCATATGTGCTATAATGCTCAAATCTTGGTAAGTGAACCAATTGCTTGATCTACAATATATAAAAAATAATGGATTCTAAAAGACTCCTCAGTAGACTCAAGGTTGGTTTTGAGTGCATTTAGAATTATTTTTATCACTCTCTTTTTCTACAAATTTGACGTTTTTGAACACACAGATTCAATCTCCATTTCATCCACAATTTTTTAGCACTAAATAGCATTTGCAAATCCAGATTCTCTATTTTTCCAAATAGATAATCAAACCCTTCACTAATTCTATAGCCACGTCAATGCGCATATTTTATTTTCTTTTTTTTATAAATTTTTGCTTGGACTTATAGCAAGAAACGTAGATATTTGAAATTATCAAATATTAGAGAAGGAATAGAGAGATAGATTAGATGTAGTACAAAATTAGAATTGTGGGTATTGATATAAGAGTAGGATTAGAAGACTCTTTAGTTATCCCAACATTTAGATTTTCGCTCCATTTTTGTGCCATTATTCTACCGTTTTTTACTAGCATTACTCCACTGATTAGAAATTTATAATTTTTAAGATTTTCTATTTCTATAATTCCACCGTTACCAACTTACCATTAATACATTTGTTTTTCATAGATTTTTAATGCATTTATTAATGTTCACTATTATTATATATATGCATCTGTATATAAAGATAATTTTAACTATAATTTTTTTATTCAAATATATGTATATACTACTAACTACTAGTAATAAGTAAAAATAAATAAATTGATGCCTCTAAAATAACAAAGCCCTTGGACGGTCGCCCATCCCCCTCATGGGCAGGGCCACCCATATGTTAATACTACTTATGCACAAGGCTTCTTGAACCTCTGCTTATACCGATATCAAAATTTCTTCAGCTATCGTTACTCTACACATTCCTTTTCCAGCTACCGTATGGGCAATGTGAAATTATTAATATGAACTAACTCGTCTTAATTTCAGATGTGCCATTCCTGAACAAATGCTCATCGGGTAGAACAAGGTTTTGCAAGTCAAGTCATTTTGTTTCTATAGGGAGCTTCCAGTGGTCAAAATGAGAATCAGCAATTCCTCCTGTAGGAAAGGAATCTCCCCTGTAGTAGGAATTGGCCACCATAGAGTAAGGGATGTTCCATTCCTGAACAAATGTCTATGCTCAGTTTCACACCCAGAATATGCGACAAAATCATGGCGTGCCAGACAATGAGAACCATCTAAATGTAAAGTGACGTTGTTCCGTAGTGTCAATGTAAACTCACTGAATATAAATACATTACAGATAATAGTCCATTTAGCTTCATTTTAAATTCAAAGTTAAAAATAAATTATAAATAAAGCATGAAAGAGAAGTCAATAACACTGTAGCACGTTTCGTGAATAAAACCAGTCCACAGTCCACAAATATAGGTAACCTAAGCGTTGGCGCTGCTCTGGTGCCTCGCCTTTTCCTTCTCCTTCACCTCGCTTCCCTGCGTCTTGTCATAAGCTTCATGCGTAGCCCAAAAGAAACAAACATACATAGTGAGCACTAAGCACCGGACTTAATTGAGTTCCATTCAGATTTCAGACATAGCCAATAAGATAATCAAACCTGGGTGATTTTCATCCGTCTTAAGGGTGGATTGGTTCCCACCGTAAATTCCCCCAAATCCTTCTTCATCAGACCTCGTGGCATACCCTTCCCCAAACGAATGAGTCATCGCATCCCTTCACAACATTATTCAACATATCCGACTAAGTATAGAAGAAATACATGATAATCAATCAAATAAATATATATGAATGATTTGAACTCACCCGTAACCATGAGTAGTTTCCTCACTCGGCTTCTGAGTCTTGTCCATCTTATGAGCACTGTCTCTGTCGGTGTCGGATTGGGTGCAGAATCTAAGTGCGCAAGTCTGTCGACCAACGTTTGAAGAGAGAGACCGTGGGACTGAAACTGGTGGACAGGTTAAAACCGTTTTGATTGTGTGAAGCATAGTTTTCCTGTAAGTTACTTGAGATCTTAAAATCTTATAGCAGTGACACAATCCTACAAGATTCGCAACAATGCAAATCCTAACTTTCAATACATAGTTCAGAAAAATCTAGTATCTTCATGACATGTGACACCTGGTATCCATTGGACGCTTGTCCTTAACATAAAACCCTCGCGTGTCACATCGATACTATTCAGCTTTTTCCATGAATAAATTTATTTCAGCTTTCAAGACTATCCTTGCGGAACAACTTAATCAAAGCCACGTCTCTGTCACCTGTCAATGATAAATATTTTTTTAATACAAGTACGCGTATGAATTAAGACATTTAGTGATCATTATGCAACTTTAATTTATCAACATTATCCTATATTTTCTTTTTTCAATCGTGAAGCGGATGACACGGTACGAATTAACACTCGTTCAATATAAGGAAGAAGCATAGGAAACAAGACTGATCATGTGCCATGTTCTTTTTCTACACGGTCAAGGTGGGAATGGATAAAGCAATGCTAGCAACTTTTGCATCATTATGCAATTGCTATAAATGTAATATTGATTAAGATTTTTTCAAATCAGTGAAAGTATGAAAATTTTTATATTTGATTTGACATTTTTATAAATTAAATAAAAAATTTATATAAATATAAAAAAATTTAAATTTATATTTTTCGTATATTATTAATCTGAAAAACTGCAACTTTATTGAGATTCAAATTAATCAATATTTCTGATATTCAAATTAATCAATACTTCAAGGTTCAAAAGGTTTTAAATAAATATTCCCATGTCATATATCTTCTTTGCAAATCTATTTCTCTATGAATTTAATTAACAATTTGCCTTCAATAAGACAAAAGAAAAGACGCGTTGTTATGTCCCATGTCAGGGTGAGCATTTTTTCAACATTAATTGATGAATTAATAGTTGAAACTGATCATAAGTAAAATTTGTATTTTGATTTAAATTAATCTGAAATAATATTAAACTTAAATTAATTTAAACTGATAATTTATTGTATAGATTGGATTTTTTTTATTTTTTAAAAAACCTAACATAATTATAACTATAAATTATAATAATTTTTTTAAAATACAAATACATTTAAGTAAATATGTTTTAGATTAGTATTTTATAAAGGTAAAATAATATATATAGTTTTTTTATTTTACTTTATTCAAATTAAATTGGAATATGAAAATAAAAAACAGTTTTTAATTTTTTATTTTTCAGTCAATAATTTATTTAAATTTATTAAATGGTTTAAAATAATTTGTATAAGTTATTGACGGGTATTGTATGATTGAAATTTACCTAGAGGTAGTCCTTTAATGCACTTCTCATTCTTGTAAAATTGATATTGACTAATTGTGTGAAAGTTTTTTAATCTCACTTATTAATCGACTTTCTGAAAAAAGTTTTCTCTTTTAAATTAAATATTTTTTTATCTAAAATTTTCTTATCAGACTTAAATCACTAAGAGATTTCATCACACTTTTTATCATCTATTTTAGTTAGTGTTTATATCTATTGGATTACTCTTGTTTACTAACAAATTTATTACTTCTCATGCTTTACTACTTAGGATCACGATTTGGGCTCACCAATACTAATTTATACACTAATAAAATAACTATAATCAAGTCTACTAAAATTCTTTTATAATCTTAGTTCTTGAAAAAAATAATACTCTTTAACATTAAATTTAGTCTCTCTCACTTAGGCTTTAATGCTAGAGCTATTGATCGTTACGGAGAGATTTTAAAAAATTATTATAGATATTTATGTATACAGAAGATATGCAAGTTTTAAATAAAAGAAATTAGAATAAAGAAAGATATACATCATGCAAATAAAGAAATATTTTTTAACCTTAAACCTAATCTTAATCAAGATTAGGCACTAATATCGAAGATATTGATTATTACAAAGAGTTTTGAGAAAGTCTTTATAAATATTTGCATATACAAAATATATGTATGTTTCAAAGAAAGGAAATTAGAGTAAAGAAAGATATACACATTTCAAAAAAGGAAAATTATGATAAAAAAAGTAACTCACAAAAATAACTTTATTATAAGCTTTAGCATTGAGACAAAAGAAGTTGATAGTAAATTTTACTAAACTCTCAGTATAAGATTTTAGAGAGATATTAAGAATATAAAGTAAGGAGTAAATAAATAAGATTTGATCTCTTTTCCTGTCTTTCCCCTCTCTTTGTTCTCAATAAAACTCATATATAAACTATAAAGATTCCTAAAATTAGAATTGTTACAACTTTTAATTATATTATTGAACTTTTACTATTGAGAGATGTTGTCAACACTTTGTTATTTTTTCTTTTTTCTGTTTAAGATACTTTTACTATTTGCAGCAAGTACAATCGCAAACTTTAATTATGTTGTCAAGTTTTTATTATCAAGAGATGTTCCTGACACTTTGTTATTTTCTTTCTTTTTCTCTGTTCAAAATATTTTGACTATTTGCAAATGTTGTTAACACTTACTTTTCCTGTTGTAAGATGTTACTAACAATTTTCTTTAAAATTATTATTGTAAAGGAGAGAAAATGTCAAATTTGTCATTCCTATTATTAGAATAGTAGTAAGGTTCCTTTTTCACTTTCTTTGGGTAAAGAAGATGTAAAAGATAATTGTGAAATTATCTTTTGAAAATCTTCATCTATTTTTGCTAAACTTATAGCTTCTTCTTTATTCTAGAAAAATAACTTTTTGAAGAGGTGATAAACTTTATTTTGAAGAGCTTGGGCTCGTAGTTTTGTTAAAATGATGACCCTTTGATATAATTAACCATTTGTTTATTTTGTCTTTGCTTAACAAAGTAGTATTTAACTTATTCTACAACTTAACTTTTATTACTCAAATAACAAATTGTATTATCTCGTTATTTGGGACTTTAGCTTAATCTTAGTCTCAAGTTATTCATGCAATACCTTGACTTATAAAGTATGAGATTAATTGATACTTTTTTTTAAAATTAGTTTTAGTAATAAAGTATTGAAAGCTTATATAAATTTCTTTAAGTAACAAAATTAGTTTCTTTGATGAGACACTTTTTTTGAAACCAGAAGAATCATGAGTGTTTCTTTGGTTTAAAAAAAACATTTCGCCCCTTGCTTTAATATAGTCAAAATAATTATATTGTTGTAGAGCATATTGAATTGAAAAATTATTATGCTTATATACAGGTAGTCTCATTTTTACAATGAAAGAATTTTAGACAAAATCCAACAATTTTTTGAACTAAATCTAGTAGACTTAAACACTCTTTTGGCAATTTTTTGTTTGGGTAAATTGAACAACTCTCTTTTAATTACCATTATTGGTAAACTATTAGGTTTCTCCTCTATGTAATTTTTGTAAACAGGGAGTATTATAGGCCTAATTAATGGTGTGCACTTATTTTGGTTAAATGTTAAGGCAGTTGGTAAGGGTTTTAAAGAGAAAGCTCTTACTATTTAGGCTAATGTCATTAGTCTAGGTGTTAATTTTTATGTTGTTATTAGAGGCGTTGATGTATTGGTTTGACTTGTTTGAACATTTTGACCATGTACAAATTCTTTAATGAAAAATATGATAAATAATTATTTTCACCTTTAATATGAATGATTTCAAAAAAAAAGTTTGAAAGTAAAGTTTGTCAGCAAACAAAAATGTGTTTTGAAACTAAGTTTTTAACATAATTTTGTAAAATATGTGGAGTTACCTAAGTAACAAAAAAAAAATCATCTTAAAATATAGTAATGCATAAAATTATCATTAATTTTTTTTAACTATTGAATATTTGTTGAGTTGAAGGCCAAATTCAAAATTTATACATGACTATTTATTCTCATTTAATCCTTAAAGGATTTGTTTTGAAATTACTCTATAACCTAATTTTAAAGTATTTATTTCTATTATCAATGAAACTTATGGATTTGGGATGCCTAGGCATGGAATAATTTAGGATTTTTTATTTTAATAATACTAATTTAAAAACTAATTTCTAAAATAGGTATAATTTAAAACTAAGTCTATGTCTAATGCTTCTTTTTTTTTGCCAACTCAGCACTAGTGTTGCACCTAAATGGACGATAGCATAATTTTATTATTATTTTAATATATTATCATCACGTCCGATGCACAGTCCACTTGACACATATTATAGACGTGTATCAAAGAAAAGAGACCGACAGTAATATTAATTGCTAGAATGCATTAGCACTATCATTTGATAGTAGAAAATACTGCAAGTGATCAGTTAATGATATGTTAGTGAATGTATATGCTTTGTAGTGAACTTTTTGTAAATCTTTGTGGTGAATTCTCTGTCCATCGAGTGGGTTATGTTTTGTTTTAATATGCTTTGTAAGAGAGACATAATAAGAAAGGTGTTAGAAAATTGTGACCCAACCATTAAGGAAATATCTTCCCTACTACTTTATTTCTCAGTTTTGACACAACTCAGCCTAACCAATTTTTTTTTTATTGAATGATCTTCAATCCCTCATTTATGTTCGCATGTGACCCAAATTACTCTTTCTTCCTCTCCATCACTTTCAATGGTAAAAAATTTTATTAAAAAAATATTTTAATTACACAATGACCTGTGAATTATGTCCTTTTCCTTACTATATCTACCCCTGCGACCCATAGCAGTATCATCCACTATCAAACAATAGTGTTAGTGCATTTTGACAACTAAAATTACTATTGGTCTCTTTTCTTTGATACATGTATGATAATGACATGTGTCAACCAGACTATGTATTAGAATGTCTATGACAATGGTATATTAAAATAATAATAAAATTATGCTATTATTCATCTAGGTGCAAAACTAGTACCGAGTTGATAAAAAAAAATACAAGATAGAAAATTAATTTTAAATTATACCTATTTTAGAAATTAATTTTTAAATTATCATTAAAATAAAAAAGCCAAAAATTTTAATTAATCTTTTAATTTGACTTACTACTTTAGTTATTTCTTTATTTTAGGTTGAAGAGTTTTTTTTAAGTTTAATATAAAATGGCTCACAAATAATTTTAATAGTAGGAATGAAATCTATAACATAATTGAACATCTTACAAATATTTATGACTAATTTTTATTTTTTTAATTATT